TGGCACTTTGCACTCCCTACCCTGCTGAAGGCCGTTTTGGAAAAGGACAGCTGGTTTCTGGCGGAGAGTTTCCAGCCGCCAGCCATGTAGAAACACGGCCAACAGTGTTTCCAGAATGCCAGTGGGGTCGGAAACGGACGTTCGCATACCCCAAAAAAAAATACTGGTGGCCCAGTGGGGTCCGAAATCTGCCTTCCATGCCAAAACTCTTCCAGCCGCCGGCCAGTGGGGTCCAGGACTAAGAGACTCGCCACACAGGCTGTCTCAACTCAAAGATACTCGACAGCTGCCAGAAACAGTTTACCCCCTGTTCGCCACACAGGCTATTGAGGGGCAAAGTTTTGGTCATGGCCAGGCGGGCTCTGCCTTTCGACAGGGCACACGTGTCACGGAACAGTCCGTGACAATGCAAATTCAAACACATTTGCAGATGGGAGGAAACAATTGCTGGAGGGCGGCTGTGGAAAGTACCATTCTGACATCTGCCAAAAAAATCTTGAGCCGCAATTCTTCGAAAGTCTGTGTGGCAATGCAAAATTGTCGAAAATGTGTTTTTTGACAGCCTGTGTGGGGAGCCTCTAAGGCCTGGACCCCACTGGCCAGCGGCTGGGAAAGGTATCAGGACGCGAAAAGCTGGCCAACGTCAGTGGAAACGTTTTGGCACGTTTCCAAAAGACCACACCGCTGCATGGACCAGTGGACATGCTAGCCTCTCTCTCTCAAGCAGTGCGTTTCGGCCTGGACCACCCTGAAGTCCGTGACAGCGGTTTACTGCACGACACCTTGCCGGCCTCCGATGCAAACACTTGGCACTTTGCACTCCCTACCCTGCTGGAGGCCGTTTTGAAAAAGGAATGCCAGTTTCTGGCGGAGAGTTTCCAGCCACCATCCATGTAGAAACACGGCCAACAGTGTTTCCGGAATGCCAGACTGAGTGGGCTCTGAAACCGAGATTCGCATGCAGCATACCCCCCCAAAAAATCCTGGCGGCCCAGTGGGGTCCACTCTTGAAACAGGGAAATGTTTCAAGAGCTGTCAGACGATTTCAAGAGTTGCATTTTCAAGACTTTTGGGCCCATCCCCACACATCAGTCTTGAAACGACGGCAGTGCTGGACAAAGGATGCAAAAAGACAGGCGTACAGCTTTGTTTTTTTTTTAATGGCGTCGGGATAACGGCCGACAACTCTTGAAAATCAAGAGGCCCTCAAGGGTTCGGCCAAGGACGCTTGAAAAACGCACAAGTTGCAGGCTGGGGTTTCCAATCTTTCAAGAGCTGATCTTGAAGGGTTTCAAGAGCCACTCTGACTGCTCTTGAAAGCCCCAAGTTTCAAGAGTCCATGTGGCAATGCAGCATCTCTTGAAATTGAGTTTTCAAGAGTGGTGTGGCAAGGTCATTAAAGGGGAAATGACAGTGGCGAAGCACGCCACGGCATTCCTACAGGGCTTTTTGCTTATCACCGTACACAATTGCCCAGCCATACTATCTTAAATGTGGCCAGATACATTCAAGATAGTGCTAGTGTGAGTACGCCATGAGATTCCGATCCCCCATTGCTATGTGCACTATGCCGAGCGTCCGCCAGTAGGGCTGGACAGACATTCTGGACGGAGGTTCTGAAACTGGCCGGGAGACAAGAGGGAGAGAAGTGGCCAACGATCCTCTGTTACTTTTTTTTCCCATAGGACAGTAGCATTGAGCTCTTCCTCAATCCAAAAGGCGCTTAGGTAGGTAAAGTTACTGGTTGTCAAGGCCCGTGGCTCAGGCTACCGGTAGCCCCGTCATTGCCGAGCCTCGGACTTTACGCCTTGGAACAACCGGTAGTACAGAACGGGGAAAAAAAAAAAAAAAAAAAACACAAAGAAACATACAACAAAACAAAAAAATGAAGAAGGTCGACATGAGTATATTTAAAATTAGTTGGGCTCTTAGAGCGTTAGAAAGTGGCAGTTTATTTTCTACAAAGGTCAACAGGTTCAT